AGGGCAGCCAATGGCCCAGGTGGGAAGAAGAGCAGGTGTCACAGGAAACCCCTAAGAAACTCTCCCCTTCTCTGAACCCAGGAAAAGCAGCCCAGCCAGGGAAAGCACTGGAGGCAGATGCTGCAGTGCCTGTCTCAGCCTGAATCTTGGTGAGGCCTGGCGTTCTCGTCCGCCATGTGGGACTAACAGGGCCCGCCGGCCAGAGTCATCACAAGGACTGTGACATGTCCAGTACAAAAAAGGTACTCAATCGACGCCGTTGTTATGGGTATTATCGTTACTGTTAGAGCAAGCAGCCTCGTGGCCTGAACCACACTTAGCCGCCTTGGGTCCCAGGCCCAGCCCTCAGGGAAGTTACCCTCTCCATAGGCCTCAGTTTCCCCATCTGAACTACAAGGAAGGTGACACAGATGATGTCAGATGACCCTTCCAGCTCTACAGTACTGTGATCCCGACTCATAACAGGAAGATAAGATAACTCACAGCAGCAGGTGGCTCAGAGCTGGCCGGCTTTGCCAGGTCCCCATTGACGGCCAGGTCAGAAGTGGGCATCCTGGGAAGGAGAAAGACAGGAAACGAAAGCACAGAATATTAAAGCCTGGCACAGAACAGAGAAGGCGAGAGTCTCCCTATGCAACCTCCCGGCAGGCGAAGGTTCAAGATCCCCAGGCATTTACTCCTGAGCCCTGCCTGGAATGATGAAGGACACAGATGCTGTCCAGTTTCCACAGAGCAAGTGCCCCAGGAGATAGTGCCCGCTCCCTTCCTGCACATGAACAGTTAAATTCCCCCAGCCCCTTTAGGAAATGCATCCTGTATGCCCAGAACCCTCAGTGGTTCCCAAAAAGAGAAATCCTCCTTCCCCTAACCCATAAGGGGTTAAAGATCTCCTCCGGCCAGGAAGAGTACAGCTGGTCCCGTCCTGTTGCCCTGCCAATACTTCTTGAAGAACACCAAGGGGGAGGAGGGGGAAGAGTGATTTTCCAAGGCTGAAGTTGTTCCTCTTAAGCCTTGCTTGGAGCAAGGGAGGGAAGGAAGGTGGAGGGCGGAGTTCAGCCTGGGCACCAGTGTGACCTCATGGCACACTGGTCTGGGACAAGCAAAGGGTTAACTCCAGGGCCAAGCCTCCAGACACTTTCAGGTGAGAGAAGGCAAGGCCAGAGGGCAGGGCGGGGAAGAGGCCTTCAGTTTCTTGCTCAGCCCAGACCACAGCAGCCCTTCCCTTCAGGGCAACAGGACGGGGAAGGGAGCCTCTGGGCCCAGTAGGGCAGCCAATGGCCCAGG